AAAAAAAAAAAAAAAAATTATTAAAAGTTATTTTTGATAGCTCTTAATTAACATGACACTGGATTATACTTAAACTCTTTCAGGCTCACAGTATTTGTGCATCTGAAAAGTAACCACATATATAAGAGTGTATATATAATATATATCTATCATATATACATACATACATAAATTAAATGAGCCACTTAGGTACTGACCACTGCAGACCGGGAACACCCCACAAGAGCTAGACATCACAATTTGGCCCTTGTCAAAGTCGCTCAAATCCTCTCGCTTGCACCTTTTCTTCCGACTTCTAACACATCAGCTTTGCTGACAAAATGTTCACTTGCTGCCTAATATATCCCACCCACTGACAGGGCCATAATAACAAGATAATCATATATATTTATATGTATGTCTATATGTCTATATATGTCTATATAAATCTGAAGTGCTCATTGAGTTTGAAAACATAACTTTACCAGTGAGGACGCTCTGAACGATGTCTTCAGTTTTCACTGCTGGTTTCAATGAGCCTGGTCACCAAAAACAAGTTCACATGTTGAGTTGCCATTCAGCTGCACAGTTAAAAAACCTTTCTGAAACGGTTCTGATTTTTATATTTACAAAAGTATTTTCATGTTGTTTTCATATAGATAAATAATATGGTCTGGGGGCCATAAATAAATAACAAACATAAGATACAGGGAAACACATATTATCTGTTATTATCAATATAATCTTAGAGGCAGATTTAAACATTTAAATTGCCAGATATATTATGGATATACTGTCATAATTATTAACATAAAATCAAATGAAACATTTCAGACAAATGTGCTAAATTCAAGGGTTTATAATTTTACTTAACCAAGCTGCATTTCCTATATTTAACAATATATGTGAAGTGCTATCTTAGGTTAACATGATGTTTCAATGTAATATAAGAACAATGCACTCCAACTATCAGTGCATTTACAATGGACTTCAAGGGACATTTTAGCTACTGGAAATGTGATGCTGGTTATCTATACGGTACCTGCAGACTGTGGCTGGTGGCCAACCAGTGAATGTGGTTTTGGGGTGATAATGGGTGTGTGGCTCAGCCCATTCTCTGCAGGCAGCGTTACCCTCTGGTCCACCTTAGATTCTGAGGGGGCATCGCTTCCCGCCTCCACCTGTCCATCACATGAAAGATTCAACATGTAGATAAATCAAGTAAACACATCTTTAAATACAGCGCTGACCACCACTGACTCTTATGCAGAGGAATGCTGTGCAGAGCATTTTAAATTGTTTTCTACATGCTACAGTAAAATGCACAGCACGCATATACCTTGTCTGTGTTTTCTAGTGGTGACACAGAGTTGTACACAAATACATACACAAAGCTCACCTCCAAAACATTTTATGATACATTCACAAAAGATTTTTTTGAGAAACAAAAACCTGCTCGAGTATCTGTTTTCAGAAGTCTGTTGCTGTACCTGTGTCCTGCAGGATAGTTTGTAGACATAAGTTTGGTAGCCCACTCTCAACATTGCCTCGGCTCGGCAGATCTTAATTTCCCCTAGGCTCCACTGAGTCTTGGGCTATATGCTCCTATCTCTTAAACGTTAACACAATTTTAAATAATCTCTGCTCTAGTCACTGTAGCCGGATCTTCTCCTCCTTCTACATCATTCATCTCCCCACATTGTGCATTGTGCTCTGCCTTTCCCTGCTCTACCACTTTTGGTGACTGTTGCCATGGTCACAGCATGAAACAGCTCCCCGTCGGCCATCCTCGTGGGTAATCGTATCAGCTGGCAAATCAGATAAAAGAAGCCCCTCAGGAACAACCCTTCTTTCCAGTCCCCTCTTCTCATAACCTGAGATAACCCTGTGTCCTGCCTTGCCTCTCAGCCTTAAATGTATCCCAACTTTAATCTTAGAAATTATTGTTCACATCCCTCTTCAGATGTCATCCCTTTGTCTGTTCCCTGTTGCATGCCTACACTAATCCATTGCTACCTGTACTCTCTGTCAAGTACTTTTAAAATGACCACCATTTAAAAAGATTGCTGCTGCTTTACCCTTAATACACCACTTACAAGGTTACCATTCTCCTGCTGCTGTTGTAATGTAGATGGCCCATTAGCGCGAGATGCTCTCAGTGCAGTCTTTCCTTTGATATGTCACTTGGAACAAAGCTGACCGTCTGATCCTCCTAAGCAGCGATGGCTTGTTAAAACTCTCTGAGCTGCTTGGCATTTAGGTTATGTTCAGCCTGAAGCCTGTCCTAAAGTTAAAGGTCAGTGCCAACTATACTGTACATTTAGTTGGCTTATATTTCCTCTATTTCATGTTAGTTAGGATTTTATTTTAATGTGAAAAGTAGTGTGTAGTTTGTCTGTGGAGGTTTTGAATTTACATTTGCTGTTTCTCACTACATTGCATTTTGTATATCCTTGAGGCCTAATAAACGTGTTGAATGCACATTTCATACATTTACATACATATTTGCTTGCTAGCAGATGTGCTACCTTGCCTTCATTGGCACATTGCTGCGTTTCTTGGAACATTACTGCCACCAACTGTTGATTAGTTGAATAGCATGAAACCGTCATCAGGAGGACACTGTAACAGGTTATTGCAATGTTTTTTGTGGTAAAATCTCCACAGGGTACTTTTAAGATCTGTCAATCAGTTAAGCCAACCCGTATGAGGTTTAGGGAACTGTCACAGATATTCATTTCTGCTGTGCTGTAAGACATTTGATCGTCAGTCATGTAATATCCGCTTGATTTGGTTTGCCAAATTCAAATCAAACCCCCTTTTTGTCACTGGGGAATGAGACTTTAAGCATGGTCAACTTGTGTCACAATCCAAAGTAGAGTTGCGCTGGAGTAACTGCGCAAGTCTTATCAGCCCATATATCATTTCAGCCTGACAACTTAAGTAAACAGATTAGTAGTAAATTAATGGTGGTATGCGCAGTGTTGATTTTGACATTTGGCATGTAAACTTGTCACTCCCTACAAGCATACACCGTATACATTATATATAAGTACACTGAGACACGATGACAGACTTTCCCCCAGAGGAAACCTATAATCAGAGCATGCAGGTGAAAGCTGGAAGAGGCTTGATGAAATATAGCAACAATACTGCTACAGCTGTGGTTGCAGTACGGTTTATCACGGAGCAACTGGGAATGAAAAATGGCCTAAACAAAGTGTGTTGATAATATCTGTGGGGAACTGTGCAGGACACAAGCTGTGGTTCATAATTCCTTCTTTTACTACAGTGGTGCTGGTAGATTGCTGTGGGTTTTAAAGTACTTTGTAGTGCTATTAAAAACCTCATCATGCTGTTTCTTTCTAAATTGCATCTTAATAGTTTCGTTGAGAAAAGAGAACTCTCTCATTCTCTCTACCATATGTTTTTAATATCTAAACCTGTTAGTTCCTGACGATGAGGAGAGTGGGCCGCTGGACTGAGGGACCACAAAGATTTCCGTACATTAACAGAACCAGTGACAACCACACACATGTGGGATGTTCTGAATGTGTAATGGAGACACACACACACACACCTCTTTATCGCCCTCCTCCTCTCCTCCCTCTTCCAAAGTGAGAGCAGCCAGCTGATTGGCTCTCTGCTCCATCAGGTTGACATAGCGGATGGGATTGGACAAGGCTTCAATGACATCTGAGGAACAGGAAGAATACAGAGCATGACTATGAACCAGTAGTGTTTTCTAGATGAAAACATTTTACTTTTGGTTTGAATATGTTCACCTGGCGTACCTGCAAATGTGTCTGGGACATAGTCCTTCACTTCTACATACACAAACAGAGCAGGCAAAGTCAGGGACTGGTTCTTCTCGTTCCTTAGATGGATGTAGTGGTAGCCTGCAGTCAGATAGAGGGTCCATCAGTTCAGAGACAAGTGCAGCCAGATAATTGAACACACTTCAGGGAACCACAGCTTATGCAAACAAATCTTACACGCAGTTTTTATGCTACTGTCTCTGCCCACTTTTCTATTGTCTAATGTTTTCATTGTTTCTGATGGTGTATTTTAAAGATTTAAATACTTATATAACTTTGCTTTTTAATGTTTCCTCTTTTCTCAATCCGTCTAAGAAAAGAGAATAAAATCTAGAATTAAATATAAAACTGAACTAAATAAACTGTGCTAAAACAAAACTTTGTTACCTGGACGGATGGCTGACACAGGAATGATACGGTGGCCGATGAACTTCCCTCCTTCTTCAAACACTGCTATCCGTAATGAAGCAAGTGTGGGCAGAACAACCTGAGGAAAATGTATAAAATGCAATCATTATTGCATTAAAATAACACAACTAATTTGCTGTTTTGCTACATTTCTATATTGTATTTGATATATATATATAATAATTATAATGATATGTATTCATATTTATTTTCCATGTATTGCTTAGTTTTTTAGCTGTTAACTTATACACATACTGTATATAACCACCTCACCACAATCTACTCTATTAGTACCCTGAGTTAGGGTGAAATGAAATAAAATTCATACAGTTCCTTATCAAAAGTCTCCATTTCAGGCTTTATGACATAAGGATCATTAAGGAAGTTTTTGTTAATAATTTTTTTCCCAACTTTATGTATATGACACCAAACGTTCTGTCAAATATTTTGCATAGGTTTGTGATGGGAAGCTGTTTTGAAGATACAATATCATCAGAAATATAGCCATGAAATTTGGTAGGGGCACAGTCAAACTGGTGTCCCACAGATCCAAATGAAAGGTACAAAGAGATATCGTATTTGTATATATACATATGGACGTTTGCATATTTCCTGCTGTGTGTGTTTGTGTGTTTGATTGATGTGCCAAATGTCGAGGGCTCCAACATCATCAGAATCTGAGATATGGCAAGTATGGCAAACCAAGGTTGCCTCCATGTTTAAACGGAACAAGATATACTTTTATCAGATTTTATACAGAATGACCCATACAGCCATTACAAATGTATATCTGTAAATTTGTTCTGTGCTCTGCATAAAGGTATACTGAAAGCCAATGAGAACCGGAGATAAATTCCTTGTACCTTCTCCTATATTTCTATCCATGTTAAAATGTAAATGTTACCACTGTGTGTGTGCACAAAGCCATAGTCAAACCTTCTTGAAGACAATGGCCTCTTCTTCCCAGACAGGGTTGATGGCATTGCCCTGAGATGTCTTGGTCTTGAACGCTTTCCTCTTGGTGTCCACTGGTAAGCCGAACATGTCAATCTCCACGTACGTGCCTACTTTCTTATCTGACAGGAACTGGCCTGAGATGATCTGGAAGGAAGGAGTAGGGAAGAAAGCAAGAGAGAGAAAAAATGTCAAACACACACACTCAGACAGGAAGAGAGAGAGGGCTTCACAGACACAAAAAGACCAACACAAACCTTTACAGACAGAGTGTTAGCTACTATCCCATCCACTGTGCTCTCTGTGAAAGGGTCAAAGTGTTTGTCAGGCCGCCTCATAAACTCTGGTTTGAGTCTGTAGCCACATTTCCCATTGTACTCATACATGCCCAGGTTCAACTGCATGGACAAATCTGTGGAGTGATGACAGAATAACAAAAGTTTATTAAAATGCACTTTATCATTCAGATTTTCCTTTATTAGCAATTAAAAAATAAAGTCCTTTAAAAAATCCTCTTTAGAACAATTAACAGGTTCAACCTGTTATTTTTCATTATATTCCAAAACTTTTAATGAATTAAGAATTCAATTCAACAATTATAAGAAAGTATAATAAAATTGTGTTTCACTATCCTCCCTCACCAATTGTCTGGAAGTTGAGAGCCACCAGCTGACAGCCGGCATTCCAGAAGAGCTGAGGGTTGTAGTTGGATGAATCCACTCGGGTGCCTTTAGGATAGATCCTGCTCAGCTGGAGTTTGTTGTATCTGAACAGAGCTGGTTAAGGACAATGCTGCATGACTTGCAGTACAACTGGTACATCTACTACTACTACTAACTACAAACCACATGCTTCAGTAAAACTGAGAAGGATACTCCACAAACTCTACAGGAGATTTAGTCAGTTGCTCCAAGGCTTTGGTCTCTACGAAGGATGACATCTGGAAGCTGCGATTGATCTCTGTGGACAGGAAAAGGACTTTATTCCTTTTCTCACTTGAGACATTACTGAATACAGTATTTCACAAACAAATAAAATAGTGTTTTATGATGCTACATCTATCATACAAAGTGTAAGTTAATTAAACAGTGGGTATCTCATTCATTGTTCTTACGTACTTTTAGAAGCCTCGAAGCTGTTAAACTTGACTGGCTGGATGTAGATGACCAGGTTGGACATTTCCTCCGTGGCAAATGCCTCACTGCCTGCTGTACCCTGTAAACACACATTCACATAAAACCACCATATAAATATAATGCAGCATCATGTTATATATACATTATAACCCTTGCGCTTCATGAGGCCCAAAATATATAGTTATTTAGGCCTTTGGAGACACGCAGTAAAAATAAAATGCATTATCACATATGTACACTAGAGGACAGCATCAGAATATGACATGCCAATAGTACACCAAGCTTTAATTCTCCATTATTTTATATAACTGTTGATTGTCAGTTGCGAGATACACACCTCATCCATTGAGCCCTTTTTACAGTCGTCATCATCATCATCTTCATCCTCACTTTCTGCCTCCACCTCACCTAAAAGAGGAGTCACAAATATGGTCACATATGAATACAATAAATAAACCTAAATGAACCAGTTAAATGTGTGTAAATTTAATATTAACATTCAACATTTCCACATACTCAATACAAAATGTTAGACAGATTTTTTTAAACAAGTCTTTATCTGGGATCAGCTGCCTCTATTATATCTACTGCAGGGAAACAAATAAGGGTTACACTGACAGGGCCCAACCCACAGAGCTCATGGACTGAGAACATTTATTTTAATATTGTTTTGGTCGAGCTGACCCATCGTCTGTGCCCACACAATGAGAGATCCACTGAAGATTTACCACTTAATCTGAGGTCACACTGACTGAGGAAATTAATTTTAGCAGTGTAATGGTCGACCTGACCTACAGCCTCTGCAACCAGCCAGATGAAAGCGCTACTAACGATTTCCCTCAGAATCTGAGGTCATGTACTATGTATGACTCACCAATAGACTTTCTGCCTTGCGGCCTCAGGCTGAGTTCGGCACTCTCAGAAGGCTGCGAGGAATCTGCCATCTCCTCTTTGGTCGAACCTGTGTGGAAAAAACAAACTCATTAGCAACAAACTTGGATCCTAAACTACAACAATACATTGTTAAACGACTGTATAACTGCAAGCCTTATTACTTTTACTCACTAAGATAACTGCCACAATTCATATGAGAGAAGAGTCCATAAAAATGTAGATGCACTCATCTAGGCTGCCTTCAACATAAATAGCAGTGAGATGGGTTTGGACTTTTTTTGCCCTGAGTTTTGGCATTCAGGCCACATAGAGTCTGTCTATAAACCTCTGATTACTACACCTTGTTGAACTTGCTTGCAGAGTCAGGACTACATAAACTACTCAACCTCCTCCGAATGGGTTTTGGGAAAAAATATAAGATGTACATTTTGATTTTCAGTGACAATGTGTAATTAAATTATGTCTACATAAATCATTATTACTATAATTATTATTATTAATTTCTTTTTCCTGCCCCAATTCAAAAAACAAACTTGGTTGATTGATGATCGACTGTTATAATCAACACTTGTGCTGCTTATTTTATTACACCAGGGGGCAGTGTGTGTTAGGGTACAAATGAAGCTTGCAGATGAACCACAAGAGGAAATTATAGGTAATTCATGGCCAGTTCTATTATAATTTACAGCTGAATGACATACTTTATGTACAAATATGAATAAACGCTGGGAAGAAAAGTACAAAAAAGAACCATA